TTCCTACTTTATAATAAAAATTTTAAATGGGTACCAATCCTGATCACATCATTTTCATTCCTCGTAGTCGAAGTTGTTGCCTTTATGCAAATGCAACTTCAACTTGATGTATTTCTGCTGACATATAGCTCAAGATACCTCTTTAAGCCCACGAAACGTAAGCTATACTTTTGAAATCACTGTAATATCTTCTTCAATGATGTGCAATTTACGACTATCATTGAAATATATTTGTTTGTGAAACTATGTATTTTGAAAACATCATTCCCGACCTTTTTATACATTTTAAATTTTTATAGCTAAAAAAAATCATCAAGAAGATAACTATAATCAGTAACAAAAGGGAATTTCACAAATCTTGACCACTTATCTTGAATAATAAAAATGTTGGAATTTAATCAAATTAAATGTAGTGTTCCAAAAGTAAGACCAAAAATTTTATTTTTCAATTAATAAAACAATATCCCAAAACATCATCATAAATCCCAAGTGGAAAAAATGTACCAAAACATCATAAAATATTAGAGTTATCATGAAATGTGGAACAATATTGTGTGTGGACTGCAATCATCTCCCGTTCTTCCCTTTTGCACCATATATATATGCATCATAAACTGAAAACCATAAGAATGAAGCTTAGTGAGTTTCCTTTAAAATACCACATACCACACATATGGAACATATAATGGGCCCTGCCCGATCAGTGTAACAGGCCCCGCCCTAACTCGCATAATGGTCCCCTTCCACTGAGTATAACGGGCCTCACCCTAACTCGCATAACAGGCCCCACTAACTGAGTACAAAGGTCATCGCCTTAACTCTCACAACGGTCCCCGCCCAGCATACAAACTTACAAGTATAACAAACAATAGAATACATATTACCCATTAGGTCGCGCCCACTAAGCATACAAACACACACACATGCAAGAGTCACACGAAAATCTATCACCCTAACATAATAAACCATGAGTCGGCATTGGTTCCTCGACTCGCCTCAGACTGTTGAATCTCACAAACAAATCTCTAGTTGATGGTCCGAAGATTCCTGCGTTATCATCATAAAATAACATCCAGTTAATGATTGGATCCTGACTCATACTAAGAGTCCAAAATAAGGTAAAAGACCATTCTACCCTTTGCCTAACTTCACCTAAGGCCAAAGTCCAAACCAATTACTCAAAAAGGTCTAATTCCAAAAATGGTAACCCAAGGCTTATTATGGCCCAATCTTCCAAATTGGTCCTAAATCGTTAGTGGGCCTTATTGGAAAAGAGTCCAAACTAGAAATATATTCCCCAACAAGGCCCTAAATTCCTAAGGTCCACATATGGGCAGAAATCGAGAAGCCCAAATCCGAAGTCCACCTGCTGAGTACGCAGGACGTACTCAACTCGTACACTTAGCTTACTCGTTCTGGGGCTAGTAAGCACAACGTACCAGCTTGTACGCTCAACGTACTCCCCAAGTGGCCACCTCACATCAATAAGCATTGTAACATTCTGAAATCAGAACAGCGGAATCGTTTGGGAGCGGATGACATGATGTACAGTATCACGACAATCGCATAATAGTAATAAAAGTACAACAACCATGATATTGATAAAGTACAGTTTTTACATCTGTGTTCAAATCATTATATACTTGACACCAAAATGTATAGCAAAAATAAAAGACGTGACTCTATGAAGCTACGCGTTCTCAATACCTGTGTGGATACCTGTCTACTGATTCCCTGAGAATACAAGTGGTTTTGAAAAGAATATCAACAATTAAGTTGGTCAGTTCATAAGCATGTTTGTATTGGAAATCTGTCATTGGTTCGTTAAAAATGTAAATGTGTTCTTCTAGAAAATTCTATAATTTCTGTTGTAAACGTATTGTAGTCTTAATATCCTAAGACCAAAACATGTAAATGTAGTTGTACTCTGAAATAGTATGATGTAGTTTCAAGAAATGTAAGTTTATCTGTATAAGAAAATAGTATATTGTAGTTTGCGACATCCCCATTTTCACGGCCAGAAAAGACCGATTTTGTTTATGTTTGTTTGAAAATCAGAGTACTATTTTTCATAAAAGTGTTGCGGAATTTGTTCCCACAATAAAATATGATAAAGATTTATCAAAACATTTCCGTAGAAATGTATTTCATTAAAAGGACTAGGGATGTCATGTTCGTTACAGATCAAAATCATAAACAACACAATATAAGTCTTACTACATTATTTTATATCTACATGCCTATATCCGTAATCCCTCATCCAAAACATCACATCTATGCTCGAACGCCACTACCTGTAATACATGAAACTGAGTGGGTCAGGCTTGGGAGCCTGGTGAGGACATAAGGTTTTCAACCCACAATAAATAAGTTTATTAATTTCATTAACCAACAATAACTCGATTACCTGTTCCCGTTATCCTCACATTACGTCCCTAAAACACCTATCATAAGGGACCTAGACTAAGGATCAACATCGGGATGGACGTTAATGCTAAGGGGATTCCTCATTAATAAATGTCCGTAAGACAGCTTTGAGGGGGATGGAGTACACCGGTGAACACATCGTTCACAAACACCTACAGGTTGCGAGTCTGCTAGCGTTCTACTAGACTGTCTAGAAGAGTCTGTGGTCGTCATCCATACTCCTCTAGATGACAGAATCAACAACAACATCGCAGCCTCTCATCATTTTTCACACATCGTCTATTACATCTACCTATGTTTTACACCAACATTTTTGTAGATATAAAATACATATACAGTTTAAATCATTTAAAACGTATATAAAAATCTTTCATCAGCATAGACAACAAGTATTCAAACAATATGCACACATAACACGTAGTTTATATTAAATACTTCATATCTATGTAAGATGAAAGTAACTATGCACTCACCTGAAAATGTGGCGTATATGAACTCAGACAGTGCTTCACTTCTTAAAAATAATTTCCTTCAACGAAACCTAGTATTATTACCACTATAGTTTGTTCTTTTATTTGCCAAGACTAATTAATAGTCTAGCTATTATTATTATTATATAAGCGTTAAATAATACTTATATAACCCATAATAATAGTCCAAGTACTTATTATAAGTTCCTAATAACGTTATTATAATTAATTAAAACCTATATTAAAAATAGCGTAGGCATAGCTCAGTTGCAACGGGTTTTTATTAAAAAAAAATCGGGGGCTTTACTGGAGTAGCGTTTCCAAGATGAAAGCTTTTCTTCTCGGAGTTTTCGGGCGCTCCGGGGATTTCTTCTCATGCTAGGGAGGTTCCCTAGACTTGGGAGGGGTTTAAGGAGGCTAGAGAGAAGTTAGAGAGAGAAAGAAAGGTTATGGTGTGAAGAAATTATGAAGGATTCATCCTTTATTTATAAGGATTTTATCGTAGAGTAACCCCTAAGCTTCGTCCGTATATACCGTGTACAAGCTCTTTTTTCTTCGTTATTTATACTCACGCATTGGTATTTACGAGTACTACAACTTTCATTTAGACCCCGTTAGCTAATTCTCATTCTATCTCAGATTTACAAAAACTGTATCGTATTTATCGCGCTTGAAGAGTAGAGACTAAGCTTCGTCCATATCTTTCGCATACGAGCTCTGTTTTCGACTATCTTTTTATCGTTTAACTCCTATTAACAATATCTTCATTTCTCGTTTAGATTCTTTTGGCTGAAAATCGACCGATCTAAAATTCAAATTTTCGGGTTGTGCACTGTTAAGCTAAATCTTAGAAAATTCATAACTTCCTCATACGAAGTCAGATTTGGGCGTTTTTTTATGCACGCTCTCGGTTTAACATATACTAAAACTTTGGTTTATATTACTTAGCCCAAAAAGTCTCTATCATAAATCCACTATTTACGTTACAAAGCGTCGTGCCGATTTTGTCGTGAAACTTCGACAGATCATAACTTCTTTGTTATAACTCGAATTTCGACGTTCTTTATATGTCCGTAATCCTTGTGACGACCAATAAAAATTTCTTCATCGATATTGGGTTTATCTAACACTTCTTTTTACGCTTATTTTTATCCTTTATTTATTATATCGTTATAAACAAGTAATAAGCACATAAATTCACATAATTCACGTATTACTCAAATAATTCATCTTTATTATTTCAAAATGGGTTACAATGGTTGACCTGACTATTACATCTCTATATTAATGCTTAGCCCAGAAACACGGGCATTACAGTTCTCTCCCCCTTTGGATGATTCTGTCTAGGAATCATGCATCAGCAAACAGATGTGGATGGTGACTCCTCATGTCACTCTCTGTTTCCCAGGTGAGTTTCAGCCCATTCGTATTTTTCCAACGGACTAGCACTAAGTCGACCATCTTGTGTCTTAACTTCTTAGTCTTACGGTCAACAATTACCTGAAGCTCTTCAATCAGCCTCTTATTCTCATCCATTCTTAACTCTGAGATTGGAATTATGTCGGGAACTTCTCCTGTTAACTTCCTCAAATAACACACATGGAAAGTGTTATGAATACCATCTAGTTCTTCGGGTAATTCGAGCTTGTAAGCTTGGTTCCCAATCCTCTGAAGAACTTTTAATGGTCCAATAAACATTGCACTCAACTTCCCTTGTTTCCCAAATCTTATAAGTCCCTTCCACGGTGAGACTTTAAGCAAAACTGAATCCTCAAATTCAAAGGTCATCGGTTGTCTTCTTTTGTCAGCATAGCTCTTTTAACGATCCTAAGCTGCTAACATTCTTTCCCTGATCACCTTCAACTTTTCAGAAGTCTCATGGACTATCTCGGGGCCCATAAACTGCTTTTCTCCATCCTCGATCCAACAAGACGTCATACGACACTTCTGTCCGTACAAAGCTTGATAGGGTGCCATCTTGATGCTCGAGTTGAAACTATTGTTGTAGGAAAACTCTACCAGAGGTAAGTGCTCAGCCCAGTTCCCTTGGAACTCCAGGGTACATGCTCTCAGCATATCTTCAAGTGTTTAAATCATTCTTTCGCTCTGGCCTCAGTCTGCGGATTGTAAGCTATACTCAAACACAACTTCGTACCCAATTCCTCTTGTAGACTTCTCCAGAACCTTGACGTGAAACGACTATTACGATCCGATACAATTGTAAGAGCAACATCGTGAAGTCTTACTATCTCCTTCACGTAAGCATTTGTGAGCTTATCCATAGAGCATCTCTCGTTGGCTGCTATGAAGTGTGA